CAATAGCTCTTTCTGGAAAGTTTTTTTTCATGTTGAGAAACCATGAAAAGGGCCGTGACTCACGGTCACGGTCACGGCCTGGGCTCACCGTGACCGTGACTGTGACCAACCTGTCGTGACCGTGACGTGACCGTGACCAAAAAAAGTTGGTCACGCCGGGCACTAGTGACATCATATATTCTGTCCATGATTGCGTAAAATCACAAACGTATAGGAATAGTCGTCTTATGGTAGAGAAAATAATCAAATAGCTTGATTTTAACTACTTATTTGACGAAATTAGTTCTTTATTATCGATCTAAGAATATCTCCAATATCAAATATGAGTAATATTAATATTATAACAAATTATTCAGCTGAAGATATAGGTTAGTTTTCAAATTTCTATTATTTAATATAATATCTGTTTGAAATTAGAACGAATAATTGATAATTTTTATTCTCCAACATGTCAATTATCTATTGAACAACGTCAGCAATTGAATACTATTCTTGAAAATTTACAATATTCAACATTAGCATGGGATTTTTCATGGAAATTATTAGATATAAATAAATCTACAAGTGTACAATTCTTCGGTGCTGTTGCTCTTTGTAATAAAATTTCAAAAAATTTGTAAGTTTTTACAATATTTGCTTAGTTCTTTTTTTTTGTTTTTATGGATAAAAATATTCAGATCGGAATTAGATAATAATCAAATTCAACAATTATTTCAACAACTTATTCAACGATTAATTTTCTATATTTCAATTCATGCGAAACAAATTATAACAAAATTAACTGTCGCTGTTAGTAGAATTTACAAAAAACGAAATTTTGTTTTTTTTCATCTTGAATTCTATTCTATTTAGTTAGATCACTTAATTTTGCATATGATACCAGACAAATGGACTAATGGTATAACGGCAATTATTAATCTATTTACACAATCACAAAATGAATTTTTAATTCAACATGTTTGTTAATTAAATTTTTGAACATAATTTTATACTTTTTTCCTTTCTTATATTTTAGCCTGAAAAAGCACATCTAATTGTATTAAATATTTTAACTATACTTCCAGAAGAAGTAAGTTATTTTTTATTCTAAATGATAATGCATTATTATCTTCGCATTTAAAATTCTTATGACACAGAAAATTGATATTCCAAAAGTCATTATAAACAAATAAATCAGATTAATTTATAGAAATTATTTTATTTTAGTTTTCACGTATTAATGTATCTAAATCTCAGCGTTCTTTAATTCGACTTGAACTTGAAAAAGAATTTCCTAATGGTAACTATTTAAAATAAAATCGAATTTTCTTTTTATATGTTTTTTTTTTATATTTTAGTTCTTAATTATTTACAATTTATTATTTCAACTTATAATCAAATAGAAATTCTTAGTAAAATTTTTTCTTGTTTATCAAAATGGCTTGAATTTGGTATATCAATACTTAAAATTGAAATACTTTTTGAATATTTATTTAATTCATTAAATAATGAATATTTATTTGATGATGCTTGTGATTGTCTTAGTGTTCTATTTACTTCACCTGATGCATTAAAATATCCATCGACATTTTCTCATCTTTTACCATATGTTATACAATTTGAAACAATACTTGATCAATGTTTAACAATAGGAAATAAAGTAAAAAAGAAAACTCTTTTATTCTTTTTTATTAATTGAGTTTAAATGAGAAGGAAAAAGCTGAATATATTACAAAATTAATAACACAATTTGGTGAAAATCTTGTACAACTTATTGTTCAAATGTCAATGACAACAAATTCACAATCACAAATAGTTTCACATAATTTTTGTCGTCTTGTTATGGTAAAATATTATTTCATTCATAATTATTTTATTATTTTCTATATTATTTAGAAATGTACTGAAATAAAAGGACAATATCCAATTGAAGAAACATGTTCAATATTAACATTTAATTTTTGGAATGCATTAGAAGTATCATATCTAATTTATTATCTATATTTAACGATATATATGTTTAATTTTTAGGAAGAAATTAATTCAATTAATGAAAAAACGAATCAAGAAATTCTTTTAGAAGTTTTTCATCCATATTTTGAACATTTAATTGAAGTATTAATATCTAAAGGAAAATTACCAGATAATGAGAATATATTTACTTATGAAGATAAAGAATCATTTCGATGTTATCGTGCAGATATAATAGATACAATGGTAAATAATGAATAAATTTCAGAATAAAAATATTCAACTTTTTGAATTTAGATATGCATGTATAATATTCTTAATAATAGAGCTATGGAAGGTAAGCTAAATTATAAGAAAGGAAAAAAGTATAAAATTATGTTCAAAAATTTAATTAAAAAACATGTTGAATTAAAAATTCATTTTGTGATTGTGTAAATAGATTAATAATTGCCGTTATACCATTAGTCCATTTGTCTGGTATCATATGCAAAATTAANTGAAATTTGAAATCCGTCGATGAAATTAGGTGTAGCTTCCTTTGAAACTTTAAAAATCAGCATACTGCTAAGAGCAAAATAAATCCTAGGGGTTGCCCAGGAAAAAGCTAATTTTTTTCGCAAACTCCGAGTGCAAATTTTTTTTTGATAAAACTCCATCAATTGGGTCCAACATCACCTCCCATGACTTTCATCTGGAGCCCATGCTTGGAAGTCGAGATTCAGCTTATTTGAAAAATCCTGAGTACGCCCCTGGGTGGCTCATTCGCTAGTATTCTTTAATCTTAAGTTTCAAATACTAACTGGTGTGTCAGAATAAACGTTCTTCTAAATATTTTCTTAATATCGTCGTCAAGATCCATTGCCATATCTTAATCGTTTTATTTAAAAAGATTCATAACTCAATTTTCTACAAACAAAAAGTAGATAAATAGTACCGTAAGACTTCAATATGACCAAATTTCATAAATAAAGAACAATTCATTTAGATCTATTTATTTGAGTTTTATTCTAACGAAAAAATAACACTAATCAATTATTTCTTTCAATGTACGTCATGAGAAAGAACACACTTTGTTATACTTCAATTGAAAATCAATAGAAAAAGGTACTGATTGATATTAATAACAAGACTTGAACTATTCTAGAACATTTAAAAGCCTTCCTTGAAATTTGAATAGCTAGAATTCGTTGATGAATATTCTAAATAGTGTAGTTTTTTGTTTATTTTTGCACAGTCGTCATATGATCAATATTAAAGACATGAAGTGATCAAGTGATAACTCTAGAAAAAAAACCGATTAACACATGGTGATATTGAAAAAATACGTGAAGAAAAATTTGCTCTAGTGCATCTGTTAGAATATCTTAAAATTGCTTCGCTATACAAATAAGAATGATTAATAATTCAAATATTAAGAAATCTAATCTTATGTAAAAAAAAAGCTAAAGAAAATATTTTATTCTTTTTTTTATTTTTCATTGAAGCTATGTTGTATTCTTCGTGATCTTGATTCTATTCTTCAAATGATTGTTAAACAATATGCTGATAATATTCAAGTAACAGAAGTATGTAGAATATTCTTTATTGATTTGATTGTTAATTTTTGTATTTTGAAGAAAATTTGTGAAATTCTTTCACGAATCGTAACAATATTACGAGAATCAAGTAGTTTAGTATTAAATATATTTATTCAACTTTTACAAAATATGGGACGAAATATATTACATGTAGAATTTTTAAATTTTGTTCGAAATGTAAGTTTACTATTTCGTTATTTAATAAAAGAAAAAGAAAATTTTATTATTTGATGTAGATACTTCTACTCTTTTCAAAAGACATAGACAAACCAGTTTTAAATCTTTTTCTTATTGTTCTTCAAAAATTTCGATGTCTATTTAATGGAGGTTTGTTTATTTATCTTTTGCTTTTTTATCGTATGAATTATTATAGATATGCAATGGTTAAAAAATCATGTTGACATGGTAGAAGATGTTGCTAATTTCTTTAGTCAAGTAAAACAATCTTTATCAATAAAATTCATTTTTCTATTCTCTTGGTTTTTTTTTTAGGTCATTAAAAAATTACCAAATATTATACATCAATGTCCTGATGAAGAATTTATTCTATTTATCGAATTAAGTAAGTATTAAAGTTACAAATATTTATTTTATAATTATATAAATTTCAAGTAAAAAATGGTATTCAATTACATGAACCAGGAACATTAAAAAGTATATCAACATTTACTGTAAGTTGTTAATAATAAATATTGAAATATTTCGAATAATTTTCTTTCTTTTGAAAAAGTCTAATTTTATTGAATATACAAAATCAGATCAACGTACAATAAATCTTCTACAACAAAATGGTTTTGAAATAGTTCAAATTCTTTTACAGGTTAGATTCACTTTCAATGATTATTTACAATAGTAGCTAGAAGAAGCCAACATACGGAGAGGGTGTCGCAATTTTTATTCGCAAAGATAAAATTTCAGTTCTGTTGGAAAAAAAATTCGACACATTAGTCATGAATATAATTAACCACTCGTTCTCACTACCTAACCTTGATTTCGAAATGAGAAAAAGTTTGTCGAAATCCTGAGAATGTGACAATATAGAAAAGAGCTTCTTTACACGACTCAATCTGATGAAGACAATTAATATTTCAAATGCTATATGCAACAGTTTTCTCACATAGCAATAATTAATTTAGATTTATTAGCGCTTAACTTATCAGATGAGCCAAGATAGCTGAATGTAACTGTTATTCACTATTGATTTCTTCTACGGAAGTCAAAGATTTAGAAATAACAATTGCGCTAGAAGTTCGCGCTCGTGCAGTCAGCCGCTTTTTCTACGTGAGTTTTGCTTGAGGGACAGTCTAGTTCTTTCTGTGTCAATCAGTAAAATGCACAACAGGTTTTTGACATAAGGATTAGAAAAATTCGAGATGATCCCTCAAAACCATGTTACACTCTTGGTTTGACCACTACTGATCATTTATATTCTTATAGAGTTATTTATACTCTCATCATAATGGTAGAATAACATATTACAAATAACGATTTTTTTAATGATTTTGTTGATTGAGTCTATGAATTCTAATTTAGTGTATTGGTGGTGCAAGTCCTCATCATCTTATTGAAAGTTTATCATTACCTCTTTTTACTCTGTCAAAATCCTATATTGATTGGACAACATCTTGGATTCAACAATGTTTAAATAATCCAAATTTCCCAACATCATCTGCTAAACGTCATCATCGTGAAACTTTATTGAAAGTATTAACAGCGTAAGTTTCTTTTCTGTGTTTTTTTTTTTGGATTTACTATCATTTGACTTATTTATTGGATTTAGTAAACAAACAAGTCGCTCAAGTTTCAAAGATCATGTTAATACATTTTCACTAGCATGTCGTGAACCAATATCTAAAGAAAATTATTTATCATGATTAATGACGAAACATTTTTCTTTTTGTAACTCTAAGTAATTGATAACATTGTTCGTTTTTTTTTTTTGTTTCTTTTCTATTGTTGTAAAAGATGAAATGTATCAAAGTGATTTTGAAATTAATGTTTTTTCATATCTTAACAGAATAAAGTTGATATTGGATTTGTTATATATTCCATTTAATATATTATTCACGAGTATTGTACTTATGTTTAATACGGATTCATTTCATATGATTTTTTTTTTGGATGAAATCATGAAAAAAAAAAGATCCTAACATGAGATTGAATATAATCTAAAATAAAAAAAAACAAACAAGAAAGACGAATAGCGAATGAATAGTAATGATTTAACAAAAAAAATCAATTATTGTTTATATTGCAAATAATTATTTGACATTAGTATTATTTTATTGTTTGTTTTTGTTTAGCAAAATTTGATAATCTTTTTCTGATGAACAAATCATATCGATAGGTTAATATTTCAATGTTTTCTTTTTCCCATGCTGTTTTTTTTTAATATTAACAGTCTCTTTATATAAATATCGAATAACAGATTTTTTTTTGTCACTATTTTCTTTGATGCATTTTAAACGAAGGAATTTAATCAATAACTAAAACATCAATTTTGATTTTTTAAGAAGGACATTTTTCAATAAAATTGACGCTATTAACATTTCACATAGAGAAAACACTGCTTGAGAACGACAATTGCCGTTCAACCATATAGATGATGACATGGTCGAAACAATAGAAGTTTGATGAATTTTCAACGACGAACAACACAAATATGACAACAATCATAATCAATTATATTCGTGATCTATTAAGCCAAAATAGCATGTTGAAATATCTATCACGGTGTGTGAGGCAGGCCGGGAGGGGGGGGGGGCGGACGAGGTTTACTTTTCTCGCTATAAATTTTGGGTGTGGGTGTGATTGTTTGTTACACCAATTACACATGTACATCTCCGAATCATAAGTGACATCAATGAGAACTCAAACTTCTTATTTTATTGCATATATTTTTCAAAAGACAAGATTTTATTTTGATGAGTAAATCGTAATCATCCTAAGCATAGCAATCTTTTAATATTGGACAGTTATTCAGCTAATCCAGTACTGACGAGAATTTGTTCCTTAGAAAACTCGAACGTTCGTTGTAATTTCACAGTCAGTCAGCATTCGACGATTTCCGAAAAGCAACTTTTTCATTTCGATTTATACTAAACAAACAGTAAATTTAAAAGAGTTTTGTGACATAAGCAAGATTATTTTTGTTTTTATCCATCGTCTCTAGAATGGCTTTTTTTTTACCAAGTTGAAGTTGAGTAGTAAAAGAAGAAAAAAGAGGGTTTTTATTCAATCAGCAAATAATTAGCCGTCACCATCTGTGTTTGTTTTTCCGCATTCATTATTATATGAAAAACAGACGTACAGGTAAGAAAACATAATTTCTACTTGCATTTTGGCGTACTTATTTATCAATATAATAGAGAATACTTAACTGTGAATATAGAACTAAGGGCATACTCTTGATAAAATCAGATTCATAATCCGATGAAGTCTCTGAGATAGCAATGCAAACCTCAACACATCTACTCCATAGATCGCTGCTAGCGCACAATAATGAAACATATTCTTGACTATTTTCACGCCTCTAATAAAGTATCCAAAACAAAATCTAGCTGTTAACTATTTTCATGTAACATTAGTATAAACTGTAAGAAAAGCAAATAATCATTTTTTTGTTTGTGTGTGTTTCAGCTGCTACCCAGTCAAAGAAGACTATCTAAAAACGGTGTTTGTATTGATAATAATAGATCACAAGAACGAAGATGTAGTAAAGGATCATTATAACGAAAAAAGGCAACTTTCCGTGCGAGAACGAAAAAAATCGAGACTTATCAAACTGTGATGTTTCAATAATTGGATGAAAACAGTTCTTATAAATGAATACATTAGACCTGGTGACTGAGTAATTGATCTATCTTGTGAAACGGGTGAAGACCTGAAAAAATGGGCAGCTGTCGACATTTCTTATTTGCTTTGAGCAGACATTTCGGAAGTATCCATTGAAGAATGCAAAAGAAGATTTGAAGAATTGAAATTGAACATTCAATCTGAGTTCTACATTGTTGATTGCTTTTCATATGTGTTTCTTGAATTGCCATGCTTCGCTTGCAACAAGAATTTGTTTCAATCTTTTGTCAATTTGCATATCATTGTGCATTCAATTCTGAAAATTCTATGCGTGCTTGACTTTCCAATATTTCCAAATGTCTAAAGCCAAATGGAATATTTATAGCAACTATTTCAGATTCCAAAGTTATTCATCAAAGATTAATGGAATCATCAAGTACTTCCTTTTGAAAATAATATTTATCGAGTAACTATTGATTCAAAAGATAATTTCGTACAACACGAACAGAAATACAAATTCTTTTTGCACGATACGATAGATAATTGTCCAGCATACATTATTGATATTGATACTCTAAAGACTGATGCTTGTCAATTTGGTCTTGAACTAATTTATTCAGAAAACTTTAGCAAGGTCTTTAAAGACTACAAGCATAAATATCGCTATTTGATAAAAACAATAATAGATAAAAAACAGCATTTCAAAAGATGATTTGATTCGATCAGACGAATTGGAAGTGGCCACTCTTTACTTGGCAATTATTTTCCAAAATAAAGTATTAGACGAAAATGCGAGCTTCAATAAGCAGTAGAACGTCTTACCTTATCTTTTGTTATAACTCATTTTTAGCTTTTCAACTAAAAAACATCGGTCATTTCATTTTAAATAGCATTATTACGAAATGAGACCAAAGTTTGGATTGTCTATTAGAAAAAATTTTTATTCGTTCTACTACGATATATCGAGCAATCACATGTATAGATATGACAAACTTCAAAACAGCTACAAATTGTTGAAATATCGTAGTGAATTTTTCGACAGTACCTAATAGTATACATCTTGACTTGACTGCTGGTATGAAAGACAATGAACTAGTTTTTATGGTGAGTGATGAAAGCTCAAATCACTGGTAGTATGTCGCATTGATTCAGGAACTGTGTAATGATACAATATTCATTTCAGCGCTAGATGTGTTTTTTTTCTAATATACCGCCACTTCAGGCATTCACATATGAGTGTAGCAAAGGATTAGTTACAAAATCACTTTTTGCTAGTAGGAATAACAACTATTGTATTATTAATTAGGATGTCAGTGCGCATTATCTCTTCATCCACATCTGAAATTTTAATAGAGTATAAATCATTTTGAGGAGTGTCAATCATTGTGATTTAATTACAATAAATGCGCTATTAATAAATAAACGAATAAAATAAAGCAAAAGTACGAAGAACATTGTTAAATTCGAGTTGCTGCAATCAGTCTTAGTAAGTCTAGAAAAAAAAAAAGATAAGAATAAAATAATAAAATCAAACTAATTTAAATATAATTGATTACCATGGTTCGAGTGTGCTCTGATAAACATAACTGCATCATGCGTCGTCACATAAATTATATCAGATTCTGTCTTCTCATAAAAATTCATCAATTCAAGAGTATGTCGAATTTCATCTTAAAATTGATAGCAAAGTTAATTCTCGAAGAAAATAATTAAATTTACTTACATCGACATTCACTTAAATATAATTGAATGTCTCGTTTTTTCAAATCGTTATAAATCTAAAATAAAATGTAAATTTTCGTATTTGATTTTTCTTGTAAACAATACAAACCTCAATGAGTAACTTCACTCCAACTGTATCAATAAAATTGAAAGGTGAACAATCAAGAATAACATATTTATATTGAATGCCATCATTTTGATTCAAATTTTGTATGTCATATGAAATAAGTGGATCTTGTCGTAATTGAATACCGATTAGTTCATAAAATTTCCGTTTAAAAAATGGTGTGTTACATGCATAAAGTGATTCATCAAAACGAAGAATTTTAATATTGGCAAATTGCCGAGCCTATATATATATAATATTTTCAATTTACGTAGATAGAAAGTGATTCACTAAATCCTCGATTAATACAAAAAGATAATCTCACTACAGGATCTAATGTGAGTATAGGTGTTATGGGTTGTGGTGTATGAAGAGAAAATCTTCACCTACATTCCATCCTATCAACTACTTACTACTGGGAATACTTTGACATTCTTGTAGAGTTCAGTATTGTCAATTTGACCGAGAACAGCAAAACGAGGCCTTTGACAAAAAAAAAAAGAGAAATGTTTTCTAAAAACAATATACAATAAAAACACTCACATTTGTGTACGTATTGTATTTATGAGAAATGAAGTACCTAGACCTACGTAGAGACCAATATCAACTTCGAACAAGAGTATAGTTAAAAATGTGATGAACCATAGAAGCTATTTGATTCGAGAGAAATTCAAAGGTTATTATTGGAAATAGTTCTATTTACTTACACATTCCATAATACTAATACGATAGTAAAAGAAGAAATCTTTAATTTGAAACAAGAGCCCTCTCAAATTGACGATGATGATAGCAGCCAGACAAGCCATTGGAAGTGACTGAAATAGTGGTGTTAGTGCAACTATGACTATACCCAAAACAAGACATGAAAAACCGTTAACGAGTTGAGTTTTACAACCACTTCCTTCTTGCACTGCAGAACGACTCATTGAACATCCACTTGGAAAGCATTGAAAGAACGACGAGACAGTATTGGATATTCCATAAGCCAACAGTTCCTAATATATAAAACAAAATGAAGTGAGAGTCTATGAAAGTATCGTTTACATCAGTTGATCAAGAATTCTAGTTTTGGGTGTGGGTCAATCTTCTCTCCACCATGTATATTTGAAAAAGAGTTTTGTCAAAAATCCTGCCAATACCTGTAATCTTAATACTTATACAGCGCACTGACTTGAGTTTGACAAACAATAGCATAAATTAAATGATATTTCAAAAAATTTTCAGAATTGTCATGGTCAAAGTGAAAAACTTAAAACTAGAAATACACCATTTTGTAGAACAAATTTCACTTTATCTATTTGCATACTATGATAATGGCTTCAATCAATTTTTTGTGATTGAACATTTCTTACAAAAAATGTTCTAAATATTATGGTTTTTACTAGATTAACATTTAAAGTTCAAAAACTCAGATCGTGAAAACACCAGAAGATTTTACTCAAAAGTAATGAAAATTTGGATTTCTAGCAAATTTCTTGTAGTCTTTCATACTAGGTAAATTATTTCACAAACTCAGATTTTTCATCAACTGGTTTAGTAATCTGTGAATATAGACGAATGATCGATCATACCTGATTCGAACTAACTTTGTAGTTATGTTTTCGACTAAACATTTTGGCCATCGAAATGGAAATACACAGAGTGACCATAGCAATTGGGATAGCATGTACGACTAAGTATGATATCTGCTTGAACGGAGGCGAAATTGGTGCTGGTAAACCTTGTTTGATGGAACCTACCACCGATACATCATGATGCTTGTGAATTTCAGTGAAATGAGAGATAATAGTACCAATAACTATCTAAAATAATTGATCAAGAAATTTATCAATTCTCATTCTTCCAAGCGAAAGTTCGTCAGAGAATCTGTTCATCAAATTCCGATCCGAATCTGACAACTTTCTCTTGAACAAGATCGAATCAAGATTCATAACCAATCATAAAGGTGTTACTCCAAAAGTAGGCAGTAATTATAAGTTGATTTTAAAAAAATCTTTGTCAAAGTTGTCTGAAAAGTATGGCAAATGTATTAGTCATCGAATACGAATAATCGAAAAAAGCATTTCATATCTTCGGAGAGACGATCAGGTTCGGATCATGATCCAAAAGTTTTGGACCTGACAGACTATAACATTCACATCCTGAAACAGATAAGATTTGAATTGGTACTGAAAATATTTGTGTCATAGATCTAACGAAAGAAGAAAGATCAACTCATCTTTCAACAATCTGCAGTATAGGATGCTGTCAGGAGCAACTTTGCTAATTCGATATCTTTCCTATAGCTAATACTAACGGTGGTTCTAAACAGAAAATCGGTCTGACTTAGGCGTTTTTTGCTTTATTGTTTGATCTATGCGTTAAGACTGGCATATGAAAAGTGAGATCTTACACAGCTGATAACAAAACTTAGACATACCAAAATAAGTTCATTTGGAATAACAATACGTAGAGTCGATTTATAACGATCATTCAAATATTTAGCTATGTATAAGAGGAAAATAGAGGTAAAAGCAATTGCTGTTGACACCCAATTGACATTTTTGATTACTGAAGCGATCAGTTTGATATAGAATCTGGGCAATTTGAAAGCACCATCCACATTACGTGGACTTTTTACACCGAAAACAGATGGTATTTGACTTGAAAATACATGAACAGCAGCACCCGCCGTAAACCCACTGATAAACGGTTCTGTCAAGTATACAGTGAGAAAGCCAAGACGAAAGACTGACAGAATTAACTTGACAAAAAAAAAAAATTTATTCCTTTATCTTTTATGTGGTTGAGTTTGTCGAACTCACCTGAATAATTCCAACGAAAAATGCCAAAGTAGTAGCTAGACCCACTTTTTCACTAATTATCATTGAATCGGATATATTCGATAGAATATATGATTGATTGTTAATAACATTACGAGATTGTAATGATGCTCCATCAATAGCTTGTGCAGTCATCAACGATGTAATAGCAAATGTGCCTTTAGAATAGAACACCAACGAGAAACTACAAGTTAACCAAAAACAAAATACTCTATTGTAAATGGGACTAACCGAGAGATAAATGTGGACAAGTGCCAAAGATCATGTAGAAAAGAACAGGAAAGAATGAAACATACAATCCTAAATTATGCATGCACAAAGGTAATCGAGTCGAATTCAAAGAATATATGTATATATATATATACCATAAACAGGTGGCAATGTTGTCAAAATTCCATAAGCCATACCTACAATTATCACAAAATAAGTATTATAGAATATATTTTTGTTTAATTTGTCTGTTACCTTGTGGTATATGCATGATAGCTACTGTAATACCAGCAATAATATCTCCGAAAAGATATTTTCGTATCTTATATTCCTTAAGACAACGAATAATCGGTATTCGATCTAGTAATGTGTTCATAATACTGATGCAACTTAATGTATTGTAGAATTTATTCAAATGATTTTTAATACGATTTATTGTTGGTGTACGTGGCTTAACAATTTCATACTGATTAATAAATGATTGAAATCTCAATCGATTATTATTTCCTTGTGATTGTCGATTGAGTATTCGTCCTTCGACAAATTCATCAGCATAACTATTATTATTTACTGTTGATATCATGTTTACTTAATAATCTAAAATGAACACATTCAATTTATCTAACAGAAAAACATTAACAATTTTCATCTAAATTTATAAACCACTCGTGAATCATGCATCTAACGATGTGGAATTTGAGTTCTATCGAATGATATATAATTAATGTCAATATAATTAAATTATATAGGACTGAGATATCTAGAAATATCTAAACTGCATAGAAAGCTACGATTTATGTAACTGTTCTCTTGTCATGTTTAGGTATAGTTATGGGTTTGTGCAAAATATAAAATCTATATAATAATATCAAGTGTAAATAATCAGACGCTGAAATGATAAATGAGTAAATATATAGAACAGTAACAGAATTAAAAATTATTTGTTATGAAAAATAATATATTGAATAATATCTGAACAATAACAATATTGAATGATGAAAGTGTTTAGATTTATATAAAAAATGGTGAACTCATTGAAGTAGCATTTGGACAAAATTCTGCAATATAAGTAAAATGTGTCGTATGAAGCACTTAACCGACAGCTGTAGTGATATAAATAAAACAAGAAATATTAATTTTTAAATATTAAGACGAAGTGATAAATGAAAAAGGATTCTTTTTAATTTGAATGCTCATCATAAATCTCATTATGATAATAATGTATAAATACTTGAATGATATTTCGTCTTAATAATCGTGAAACTATAGTTGAAATAATGTCAATAAGTACCTTTCACAGTATACCTTTGTTAAAACTTCTAACTTATCTCTACTTTCGAATAAAAATAATATTAAAATTAAGGTTCACTTTCAAATCGAACATTTTCGAATTGCAACGAATGGTTACATTAGAAAAATATTTTCTAAAGTAGAAAAAAAAGTCTTTAAATTAGAAGAAAACTAATTCAATACATACGTTATAATATGATGTTATCAACAATACATTTAAACGATATACTTTTATACGTTGTTTCATCATCAGAATAAATCACTTGATTGATTGAAATTCTTATGTATGTTTAAAATGAATATGAGTGTTGAGTTATTGTAAAAAGAAATTGAAACATTTACATAGGATAGGGAGGATGTGTTAATCCAATGTAAAGATGATAAATAGTAACATACACATACACTTTATTCTTCTATCGAAAGTCAGTAAATTTTCATAAGAACAATATCGAAAGAAGGGAAGGTGACTGAGAAAGATGCAATGTCACTTTATATCTTCATGATAATCTCTTGAGGTTTCGATGGATGTACAAAATATAAATAATCAAAATAAATTTCAAATCCAATCACTACATAGAAATAAAGAGTAAATCGTTCTTTACATAGCATTATATTTAGATTTTTATTTTTAAATAAAATTCTTTCGTTGTGTCTTATAAACATCGTGATAATAATAAACCGATGTATTCATATGCTTACTGTGCTTATTTATAAATTGCTGAATTAGTTACTATTTATAATCATCCTTGAAACGAATCGATACTGACGAATGAAATGAAAGAAAACAGACACTTGAAACAATAATTTCGAAGAAGGCAAAAATATCATTTGTTAGAAAAATGAAAACTAAAAGTAATTCGACATTATTTTTTAAAAAGAAAATCGAATTCCAAGACAAACATGTAATAAAGACTTCCGATTATCAATGGTTGTTTTCATGCAACTTCTCCATTGAATACAGAAGATTCTCAATTTCTTCGTTGTTAATTGAAGGGCGTCCGAAAAGTTACTATACTAAAAGAAATTCAAATATCTTCATCAGGTTTAAACTATATGTAGTGATTTTTTTTGTACTTCTGATGGTAGAAGAGAATTCTAAGCTTTTATATATATATAGAAAAAAAAACATAAGAATAACTAATAGAAAATGAATGAAAGTTACTTTAATACAAAAGCATACTGGATATACTCAGAAGTCTTTTCCTAGTGTTTTCTTTATGCATGAAATTTTTGAACACTCTGGAGAACTATTGTTAATTCTTCTTAAAAACACTGAATTTTTTTTTTTGTATTGAAGTAACTTGTCTTAGTTTTTAATTATTCTTCTAAAGCGTTTCTTTATAAATAAAAACTTGGCTCTCTCTCCTCTATCATCAGAAGAAAAATTGGTCCTTCTGTACAAGACACCCGGCAGGGATATTCGAACTTTTTTTGTACAGTGACTTTAAAGACATTCTCTATTTCTTATCAACTCATGTTTATCGAGATATGTATCAGTTTTTCAAAACAAGTTTATAATCGTAACGAAGATGATCAAAAAAAACAATAACAAACAAACTATTGGAAGAAAGCAAGAGTAAAACAATTGTTGTATGTATTGATCTCGATAAGTATTACTGCTTCAGTTCCCACGAAAATCATATAGATTTGCATAATCTTCAACTATTGCCTATATTTTGGTTATATCTGCTTCGCTGCACCATGCTTACAGCAAGCGTTTTTCTTCGATTGATAGCTTTGAATCAAAGATATCATATACATACATATATCTTTCCTTCCTTACATATCTGTCACATATAAGAATGAGAGAAAAAACCTATTGATGACACATATCGATGTACAACACGTGTTTTTCAACAAGCAAAACAGAAATGATAAAAAGAATCAGCAAAAAACTGTAATGCATCAATGATTACTACATAACTATTGTCGGCGCCAGAATTAAATAGGGGTGGGTGTAAGCTCAATAACTCGACAACCGCAATAGCTAGCGATCTGCGGTTTTCGTCAATCGAAAGAGGAGGAGTTGGGACGTCTTTTTCTCTGATAATGTATAAGACGAAATCCTTTTAAAACTAATCATATTTGAAAAACATGCAAAAGAACCCATGAAAGTGATCNTGGGTGGGGGGGGGGGTGGGGGGGGGGATGGGGGGGGGGGGGGGGGGGGGGGGTGGGTGGGGGGGTGGAGGGGTGGGTGTGGGTGTGGATGTTGTCTCCTCTTTATTCACATCCCCACACTCACACACCCACACCCACACACCCACCCACATCCACACCCACACCCACACCCTGTTGAAATTTTAACAGGAGAAATACTCTTGGTATAGCATCTGTCTAGAGAAATCTCTATCTGTGTTATGTGACTATTTTCATTCGATTTTGGTCAAGGATTCTTTTTCTTGTTGTTTTCGACAAAATTAACCTTGAAATAACTCTAAGCTATCTTCGTTTATTCGAATAGCCACAACAAATGTGAAAAATTTTCTGTTTGACAGTTGCATTTTAAATAGTGATTCGTATTGGTGTTCGTTTCACAATAAAAGGCTAATCGACACTTGTTTGAAACAAGCTTTTTAAAAAGTATTATAGTTTTTCTAACAAAATCCAGGCGATTTTATTTGTATTTTAACCTAATTTGAGTCAATGTTTTGATATAAGCATGTAAAAAAGTTACCAGTGGAAAAGTTACTAATTGAAAATAACTCTAATTTGTACTCAGAAAAAAATACTCAGAAACTTTGATAAACTGTCGTTTATATATTCAAGATATTTAATGAGTCACTCAAATCTGGTGTTTTTGTTTTGATTCTAGCAGCAATTGAATAATTCTCGTGACAATAATTGTTCTAGTAAACACATTTGACTACACGCATGCTCAAGTTAGATGATTTACTGAACGTGTGAAGAAAGGTGAGATCAATCAAGTAGTAATATCATTTCCTGACATGTATGGTCGTGTGATGGGAAAAAGATTCGATGCACATTTCTTCCAAGAATACGCGGCAGACAAAGGAACACGTGGTTGTACTTCTCTGCTGGCATGGGATATGAACATGGGACCACAATCCGGTTGTACATATGCCAATTGGCAACGAGGATTTGGTGATTTTCATTTAGTACCTGATTCGACATCATTGCGATTGATGTCGTGGCACAACAAAACTGAAACTGTGATATGTGATATTTATGATGATAAAGAAAATGATCACATTCTTGTGCCGTATGCACAACGCAGTATTTTACGAAACCAAATTGAAGCAGCATCAAAGCTATCTTACAAAGTACTTAGTGCAAGTGAATTGGAATATTATACTTATGAAAATAGTTATCATGATGCTCATGCTAAAAATTATGAAAAATAAAAACTGAAACTTTTAGGTGACTATCCTGAAGATTATCATTTACTGCAAGCAGCTCGTGGAGAAAAATATACTGAAACATTTCGACATCATCTCAAGGCCAGTGGTATTCCTGTAGAAACAGTAAAGGTGAAGCTGGAATTAGACAACATGAAGTAAATATCCAATTCAGTGATATTATATCGATGGCCGATTGAGATGCAACATACAAACAATGTTTGAAAGAAGTGGCCGATCAACTAGGTGCCAGTGTTACATTTATGGCCAAACCTTTTGTGAATACTGCCGGTATTGATTGCCACATTCACTTGAGTATCGTCAACGTTAGTGATGGCAAAAATGCAGTCACTGCTGATGGCAATGGCACAGACTCGAATGACAAATTTTGTCCATTGTTCAAACACTTTCTAGCTGGTTAGTTAAAATATACACCTGATGTTATGGTATTTTATGCACCAACAATCAATAGTTATAAGCGGTTCGTGACTGCATCATGGTCACCAACACATTTAGCATGAAGTTATGACAATAGCACAGCTGCTTTTCGTATAGTTGGTAAAGGTCAATCTACTCGTATCGAATGCCGACTTCCAGGTGGTGATTGTAATATTTATCTGGCATTTTTCTGTATCATTAGCAGTTAGACTTCGAGGTATTGCTGATCAACTTGAACCACCACCGGTTTTCGAAGGTGATATTTATCAGGCAAGAGAAGTTCCTCAAGCATCTCGAGCATTGAAAGAAGCTATTCATGTCTTTGAAAATAGTAATTTTGTACGAGAAGCATTTGGTGAAGATGTTGTCAATCATTATCTCAACTTCTATCGGCTGGAGCAAGCAGCCTTTGAAAAAAGAGTTACTGATTGGGAACGACGTCGATACTTTGAACAAATATGGATTCTATCCTTTTTCATTTCTTCATTTAATCACTTTTCATCTAAATTTTTTCTCTATTTTCAAATAGCGATCTATACACTAAAATAAATAGTTCATTAGCCTATTCTTGAAGTTTTCTACACTCCTTGTAAATATCTTTGTAGTGGATATGAACAGTATGAGTGTGAATGTGTAGTTGGATGCTTGAAGTAATTTCTCTAGTCTTGGCTTTCTTTGATGGTCAAGAGAGCATGTAACCAATTACAATCAAGTAGGACTTGTTATAACTATGATCAATACTCGAGATAAATACATTGGTTCATTATGTCCTTTGTGACTGTTTATTAGTACTATTTGCTTGTATCTTTAAATAGATATACAGTAGTGGACAAAATTATAAGAACAGACAGTTTTTTAGTGTTTTCATTTCATTTGTCTTTACTTTTCATCTGCTCGAAATAGTTCATGTATCTATACATATGCATTCCGACATGCTCTATCCGAAACTGAACTCGGATTTCCTCGTTTTCAATATGAAGTTTGAGAACGTACATGTTTATTAAAAACCGTGGTTTTTNAAGGTTTTCGTCTTATACATTATCAGAGAAAAAGGTGTCCCAACTCCTCCTCTTTCGATTGACGAAAACCGCAGGTCGCTAGCTATTGCGGTTGTCGAGTTATTGAGCTTATACCCACCCCTATTTAATTCTGGCGCCGACAATAGTTATGGTAAACAAAACAAAGAAAGTAGGCTACTTTGATTTCTTTTTTTGTATTTCACGCAATATATACAGTGAGGTGAAGCTTCGAAATATTGTACACTCCATATTTCGTAGCGGTTGGTGAGTTTTGAAATTCGAACAAAATGAATCCTCTTAGAATAGCATTTTTTAGAGACATTTCTATCTGTGTTATGTGATCAGTTTCATGCTCTTTCGGTCAATAATTCTTTTTCTTGTTATCTTTGAAAAAAATTAACCTTCAAATAACTCTAACCTATCTTTGTTCATTTGAATAGTCGTAAAAAATGTGAAAAAAATGCCGTTTGACAGTTCCATTTTAAATAGTGCTCTGTACTATTGCCCATTTCAAAACAAAAGAATAATTGCACCTTTTTGAATCCTGCCTTAAAAAAAAATACCGTAGTTTTTCTAATAAAATCCAGGTGATTTTATGCATATTTTAACATAATGTAACTTAAGGTTATCATATAAGTATGCAAAAAAAAAAATTACAATGATAGAGGTTCAATTGATTCAATGAATCTTATACAGATAGATGATTTGAAAATGACTTTATCTGGTACTCAGAGAAACTTATTCAGAAACTGTAACAAACTATCGTTTACATTCTCAATTTATTTAGTGAATTATTCAAGTCTTATATTTTTTATTTTTTGATTCTACAGTCAATCAATTTATTCTCTTGACGTTACTTGTTCCGGTAATATCCTGTGAATACAAACATGCTCAAGTTAGATGATTTACGTGAACGTGTGAAGAAAGGCGAGATCAGTCAAGTGGTGATGTCATTTCCTGATATGTACGGTCGTTTGATGGGAAAAAGATTCGATGCAGATTTCTTCTTGGAATGTGCTGTAGACGATGGAACACATTGTTGTACTTATTTGTTAGCATGTGATATGAATATGGAACCACAATCAGGCTACACATATGCTAATTGGCAACGAGGATTTGGTGATTTTCATTTAGTACCTGATTGGACATCGTTGCGATTGATGTCATGGCAAAATAAAACTGCAACTGTCATGTGTGATATTTATGATGATAAAGAAAGTGATAAAGTTCTTGTACCTTATGCACCACGCAGTATTTTACGAAAGCAAATCGAAGCAGCATCAAAACTATCTTATAAAGTACTTAGTGCAAGTGAATTGGAATATTATACCTATGAAAATAGTTATCGTGATGCTCGTGCACAGAACTATGAAAAATCAAAACTCAAGCCGTTGGGTGACTATCCTGAGGATTATCATTTACTTCAAACCGCTCGTGAAGAAAAATATACGGAAGCATTTCGACAACATCTCAAAGCCAGTGGTGTTCCTGTTGAAAATAGTAAAGGTGAAGCTGGCATAGGGCAACATGAATTGAATATCAAATTTAGTGATATTCTATCGATGGCTGATCGACATACAACATATAAACAATGTTTGAAAGAAGTGGCTGATCAATTTGGTGTCAGTGTTACATTTATGGCTAAACCGTTTATTGATACTGCCGGTAGTGGCTGCCACATTCACTTGAGTATGGTCAACTCCAGTGATGGCAAAAATGCATTTACTGCTGATGGCAGCGGTACAAACTCGAATGATCAGTTTAGTCCGTTGTTCAAACATTTTCTTGCAGGTTGGTTAAAATATACGCCTGATGTTATGGTATTTTATGCACCAACAATCAATAGTTATAAGCGATTCATGAGTGCATCATGGGCACCGACACATTTAGCATGGAGTTATGACAATCGTACGGCTGCTTTTCGTGTAGTTGGTAAAGGTCAATCTACTCGTATCGAATGTCGACTTCCAGGTGCTGATTGTAATATCTATCTTGCATTCGCTGCATCATTGGCATCCGGACTACGAGGTATTGCTGATAAACTTGAACCACCACCGATCTTCGAAGGTGATATTTATCAGGCAAAAGAACTTCCTCAAGTACCTCGAACATTGAAAGAAGCCATTCGTGTTTTTGAAAACAGTAGTTTTGCAAGAGAAGCATTTGGTGAAGATGTTGTCAATCATTATCTCAACTTCTATCGGCAGGAACAAGCAGCTTATGAAAAAACCGTAACTGATTGGGAACGACATCGATATTTTGAACAAATATAAATTCTATTCTTTTTCTTTTCTTCATTTAATCAATTTTCATCGAAACTTTGCTCTATTTCAAATAGCGATCTACATATTAAAATAAATAGTTCATTAACCTATTCTTGAAAATTTTCCAGGCTCATTGTAAAAATCTCTGCAGTCGATCAGAAAGGCATGGGTGTGGGATATGTACCAGCACATTCTAAACATAGTCGAAGTCTCAATGTATTTCGGACAAATCAGTTTAAATCATCAAATTGAAAATGTTCGAAAAGCTTCATTTCGTCTTATTTTACATGAATACAATGGATTGTATTTGCTATATGCAATTGGCTATCTATTAGATCGGTGGACTTTTTCCATTATTTTCGGCGCATAGAAATCGATTATTAGCCGTTGATCTGAATCGTGCTATAACACCATCGACTGAAACCACTTCAAATGCTTCCCATAGCCCAATTCTTGATCGATTGGCAATCAATGGACTGGCACGCTCATCTTCTGCTGTTGCGTGCATCTTGTTTACAAGTGCTTTCAGTGCTACTTTACTATTGCCTAGATAAATTACCTCGAATCTTTCCCACTCATTGGCTGCATTCGCTCATACGATTAAAGATGCATTTCTCGAACACTCTGCCGTCACGAATTTACCGTTGGACATTAATCTTAACATGATCAACATCTCTTGTTTTGTTCTTTTGTAGTTACAAGCACAGTATCTAAACGATATAGATATTCATCGTTAACTTCTTTTGCTCGTCTTTTTGGCGACCTTTATTTCCAATACCAAAGCTCAAAGCTGATCGTCCAATCCGACGTTTCGATCTCGCCTTTTTTACTTTGTATCAAAGTTTATGCCTGTTATAAGCAATTGCAATTATTTAAAAAAGTTTTACGATCGAACAACAATGAAGATTTCAAGTACGATTAATATAATAAACCATAGTAATTGCTTAAATCGATCAGATCTCTTGTCCATGCGTAATGTTTTTTTTTACTGGAGAAACCGTGTGAATTAATGTGAGAATATGATCGACAGAAAAAATGTGTCGAAAATAAACTATCATCAAGAGTAAGAGCTGCGAGTAGTACTTTATCTAATTGTTTAACTTTGCTTAACGAGTGAATTTATGGGAAGCATATCATTTTTCAGGAAAAGAACTGTTCTGAAGTGTGAGTGAAGGATAACGACTCACTAAAGTCGCACACATATCCACACTCTCGATAACATATACAACATGGAAAACCTGCTAAATGTGATTAACTCAATCCTATCATCTCCAATAATGGAGAATCTTGTAATTATAAATGACAGATATTTTGTATGTTTTCATTGGTACGGATTGTTTAAGCGTAGGTGTTCGCTTACGCTACATATACTCAAGAGAAAACGGAGAATATTTTTTCGGCGTCTGCATTATGGCACCGCACGAATAAATTACTTTTTTCTTTTCTTAGTTCTTCCTCTTTTTTTTCTTGAACCTAATGCTCTAGTCACCCATCACAGTATCCTACACACTTAAATTTTGTATTCAAGAACGTTACATGCACAAAATGAAACATTTTCAATATCGACCAACACAAATGGCAACTATATCACAATAGAACGTGATGTATTATCTATCAGCCCTCAAATTATTTGTATTGACTCCATCAATACAGAGGTTATATTGCTTCTATTTAAACGAAGTCAGGTTTTTCGTAGGTATGCGTGTAGATGGGTGCGTATGGATTATGTTATGTAGTGTAACTTTTGAACAGAATACCTACACTATGATGGCTTGGGTTTTTTCGGGTGATTGTTCGATAAATGCGCTGAGGTGTTGGCTATTGACAGGCGTCAAAGATGAGTCTTACGTGCCAAGATAGACTGCTATCGTCGTGTTTTCTCGAACTCACCGATGCGACAGACTGGATATATCGAGAGTAGAACTCGTTTTGTAATGGGTGTGAGTGGGTGGCGGCTTACTACTATGGTTGAAAAGAAGATCGATATCTACATCCACCCATAAAATAAACTTTTACAAACTTGAAGTATTATCTGAGAATGATGATGTCACGATATAAAAAAAGAACACTGTCAATTGAGATCGAACAAAACTCATAAAACACTTTCTTTTATTTCAATGTCGTTATCATTAACATTATATTTTTTATCTATCTCTCTGACATGAACCTGTTATCTTGAATATGCTATGAAACTGTTTTACGAATCATTGTAAAAACAGTTAGTAAATCACATGATCGATTGCAAATATTGAATTTCGTATTTCTACGTATATGAAACTCTGCAGATTCCGTACAGAATCTATATCTTTTGAATTTAGATGATATTTCATAGTGTGCTTGAGCACTGTCTTTTTTTTCACTATAAAAACAGTGTCTAAAATCTTACTTGTATGCAAGCGTTGAAAGCGCTGTATTATCATCGGACTCATATTTTGCTGTGTAATGTCACTCCACCTAGGTAATGACTTTGTGACATTTTTTTTTTTGAAAACTGGAAAACATCACTGCTGACAGTCCACAATGTGTTTCATGCTCCATTTAAGTATGTTTTGTGTGTGAACATCAGCTTTCCGCGAAAAGATCAAAGACAGGGCATTTGCATCTATCAACTTTTTTCTCTCTTTGTAGTAATGACTCATATGGGTGTGGGGTCTGGTAAAAAGTAGACCCATACCAACGTCCACTCCTCTTCTTTCTCTTAATTTAATATTATCATTTTTCTAATCATTGATTTAATTGGCAAAGGAGACTGTTGTAAATGTCCATTACACTTACAGCAAGTATCAACGAGCTGTTATATATCTCGAATAACTAGAAAACTGATATCATTTATTCTTCAAAGTTATAACTTTGTCAAATCACGCTTTGTGTGTGGATCATATGATCATTGTGGGAAATCAATGCATCACTGCTCATTTTCGTTCACACCTAAGATATAAATTATTATCTGCAAAAACAATCGACAACTACACTACTAAGAACATTGACAAATATATTGAAGCTTTTTAAATTTTGAGCAAGTTGTTAAAACGTTGTAGAACAGTAGAGTTCTTATCGTTTATACTGTTCAGCTCATTTTTTTATTAATAAAGAAGTCTGAAGAATGTTGCCTGCACTTGCTGAGGTGTGTAATGGAGGGAGACGGAAAGAACTGGAAAAATTCTGCTTAAAACTTACACTTACTATTTTCTTCGAAAACATACGAAAGTTCCACAAAAATAAAGACAATTTATTTCTATTGAATTCTAACAAGTTATGCTGATAGATATAAGAGCGCCATTAGAAATTATCAAAACACAATATAAAGAATTAGACTTTAGAAGAGTAAGAATTTGAAGCACAAGGAAAAATAAAATAATGTCAAGTCATTAGAAAATTTAAAGAGAAACAGAAACCACGATGCTACATCCTTTTGTCCGACAGCAGGGAAATTTTTTTCAGAAAAATCCTTTTAGAAATTTTTTCCAGTATTTTCCAGTTGTATGTCTTATAAAAAGTGTTTCATAATAACTGAGGATAATTTGTCGATGATATTTTTCATACACTAGTGGTGAAATGCATAGGCAATAGTGAAATACATGAATTTTTTTATTTCATTTTTGTAATATTACTATTATTACTTATTCAATAGTTTACACTATGAAGAAATACTTTTATAGCGCGAGTCTTTTAGATTTTATCTTAAATGTTCGTAAGCTACCAGTATAGAAAGAATGATTATAAACTATGGAACTAGTAGGTAATGATGCTCGATCTGATGATGTATGGAGAGAATTGAAAACGTGTAGAGTACTCTGAAAGAAACCTTCACGGAAAAGTGTTCGACAAATCGTCATCATTAAAAAACAGAAATTGCAAACAAGAATTGAGAGAATTTGTAAAAAAACCATGTGCAAAAATGATGGACGAAATGCCTTATCACAATTACGACTGATCTAAGAAAACAATGAAGAGTATGTTCATACACATTGAGTTTTATAATAAATTACGTTTTTGAAAAAAAATTTGTCTTGTAAACATGTTTTCCCATGATATATTTATAATTCTCATTATTCAAGAAATAAGGTCATAATTATTAAGTACAAAACCTCTTGTATTTCAATATTGTCTATGCATTTTCGCACTAGTTTTAGCTAGAGATGTGGAACTTTGGAAAATTAACGATCTTGGAATAATATACATGCAATAAAAATATCGACTTTCTACGCCAAGAAAAAGTTTGAAAAATGTTATAAATAAATTATCCTCAGTTATTATGAAACATCTTTAAAGTTTTAGCCAAAATCTAAATTTCATTTGTAAAAAGTAGCTTGATCACCTAGTACAACGTTTATCTCCAAAGTGTATCGTCAACATCACTAGATGCAAGTTTAGTTACTTCTGATAAACATATCTTAAATCAACAAAGGTTTGGTATTATTTAAATCAAAGATTAGCGTAATAAAACTACAATGTTTAAAAGATGATAACAACAAGATGAATCAAAATAGAAATAATTATTTTAAGTTTATTTTATTTATGATGGTGCTTGATCAAAAAATACACCAGGTGTTGGTTTGTCAATACCAAATGTTTCTTTAGTAATTGGAGCATTTTCCTTGGCCAATGTTGTTCGATGCTTTGAAATCGGAGTAACAAGGCTAATTTTTTCAAATGGAATTAATATTTGAAAATACGATAAAGAAAGTATTCTATTAATATATGAAAAAGTAAATGGATATCGTTCGACATCAAATTTAGCATTGGCCATAAATAAATTACGAAAGAAACATGTTATACTAATATCAGCAATAGTAACATGATTTTCACCAAACATATAGCCTTCTTTTGGAACATTTTCTTCTAAATATTGTAATATTTTTGGAATTTCAATATTTAATGATCGATCAATTATTGTTTGATCGCTTTTTTTTCTCCAAACAAACGGTTTAATGACAGTTTCATTAAAATATTGCCATATAAATATATTTCCTATATAAGTATCGGCATATTCTTCATACCATCTTGCTTTAGCTCGATTTACAATATCATTTGGATATATTGAAACAAAATTAGGACTTGGATAACAATCGTCCAAATATTGGCATATAACAGATGAATCACATAATGTAACTTTATCATCTGTAAATACTGGAATACGACGAAGAGGAGAAAGTTTAGAAAATTCTTCATTGCCATAAAATGCAACGATTGGATCAATTTCATATGGAATACCTTTAATAGCTAAGCACACTAGCACTTTTCTCACATATGGAGATAAATATGAACCAATAATACGAACTTTATTTATATGAGACATCTATACAACATAGAAAAAATGAAGTTCATAATCAATTTAAGGCAAGAAGATATTCAAAATTAAGACTGGTAAGTCGCTTACTAATATTGCAATTGAAGAAAAAAAGAAATCTTGTAAAGGTTAACTTCAAGTTACAGTTTGGACTAGAGCCCTTCGCGATCATCCCAATTCCATGGGATCGAGATTTCACAAGCTTTAATTAAGTCTACGGGGCGAGATCAAGACGAAAACAACTGAATTCCACAGGACACCAGCCAAGTCCAAATTACTTCGCACACGAGGTATAAATTTCCATACTAGATATGGAATTGTACAGATTTTAGTAATTCACCTATCGTTATTACGTCACTGAAGAGCCGCATTTTTAATAAAAATCTGAAACAGAATACATCTATAAGCCCGGAAAAAATAGTTTCAGTTCGTATTTCAAATATATTTTCGCTATAAAAACACGTTTTTAAAAAACTTAATTACATATTCTGGAAGCACGTGAAGTTTTCTATCACTCTGTATATTTTTGTTTTAGTTTGCATTTGTACATTATCAAAATAAATTGTGTTCAATGAAAGCATTCTGATGTTGAAAATCCCATGAACTCGATTTTGTCATCGTCATCAAAATTAGTTTTTAAAATTTTTTATCACTAAAGAACTACCTTTTTCGAAAAGCTATTGTATACATTCAACACAGCTTGCAATTCTTTATTATCTTCTATATTTGTTAACTATCATGCATTTATGTGCTGGGGAATAATCTGAGTATTACAAACACACGCTCCTTGACAAGCACTAAAAATAAGTAGCTTTTTAAAACTATCTCTTTCATTTTTTGTTTCATAAGTTCAGAATGATAGAGAATCCGAAGCGCTATTAGAATATGCAGTTGCTTTTCGAAAAAGGTAGTTCTATTGTGATAAAAAAATTTTCAAACTAATTTTGATGACGATGACAAAACCGAGCCTGTGGGAATTTCAACATCAGGTTGCCTTCATTGTAATCAATGTATTTTGATAATGTACAAGTAAAAACTAAAACATAAATATATAGAGTGATAGAAAATGCCACGTGCTTTCAGAATATGTAATTAATTTTAAAAAAACTTTATTAATGTATTCTTCAAGTACTCGAAACAGTCTGCACTTGCCCAGCTGTGCATTAAATAAACAAGTTACCATAATAAATATACAGGTTGATTATGTTATTTTTGGCAGTTTTTCTGAGTTGACTGTATTTCTATCCAACCTCTGATGTTACCTAATTTTATATGATTAGATAAAGGATTGATTATTTCATGACATTATAGTTTTCATCTCGTTTATTTTACATTCTGCTTAAAAATTGAATAAGTTTCGTGAACCGGTGAAAGGAAACTTTTGTACGCTGATATTTCACTAACATGACATTGTTTAAATGCGAAAATTGTTTTAGATGAAAGAGATCCATCAAATTTAGACATGCATAAAATTTTAGATGAAATGAATACGAACTGTAAGAGGAAATCGAATTTTACTGCTAAAATTTCAACTATTGTTGCACTTATAAAAAGTCAAATTTCTCCGTAATAAAATGACATAAATTTGACTCAAATTATAGAAGTTCATTGAAAAAAGTTCACATACAAATTTCTTAAAAAAAATGAAGAATTTTATAATACAAGGAATAAGCTTAGTGAAGAATACGTAAGTCGATAAAGAAACAAATATTCTATTCATCAACATGAAACCAAACAATCTCAGTATCCAAGTCGGTAATAATTTTTGAAGATATTAACCGTGGACAAGTGAATTAAAACTTCAAGTAGAAAAAATCTTTTTTTCATTGCTTTTGAAAATTTGTTAAATTTTTGGTCAGAATTTTAAATAAATGAAATAAAAACTATCTGATCCGATAGAGTAATTAATACTCTATCTAATTATATCAAAACATTTAGTATACGAGATTTAATAGAAATACAGCAAACGAAACAACGATGCCAAAAATAACGTAATAATAAACCTGTACATCGAATAAGAAGTAAATATATGCAGCAAGAACAACTAGAGAATGTTTGAGCAAAAATAACATTGAAAATCTAAAAAGAGAAAAATGCTGGTTAGATCCATCTTTAACTAGAATAAATAAACAAAGTGCGGTTTTACTTTTACAAAAGCACTATCAAAGTACTATATTTTTTCCAGTAAAGTACAAAACACAGTACTTTTTCAAAATCGTAAGTACCTTGAATACTTTGCTTTTGTTGGAGGTGCTTAACATAAAAAAACTACTGAAAAGAAGTGTTTAGAAAAAAATAATGCCGTTGTTTTCTTTAAGCCCAACATATACTAAACAGTTCGTTCATTCTTAACCTAACTCTTCCCCTTGGTAAATGTGTTAGACGAATGAAAATGAATGATAATGATGTCGCTCTTAGATTTTAGTGGTTCACCTATCTTTATTCCCCTACTCCAAGGGTTCACAGAAGTGAACCAAAATCAATAGGGTCATGTCAAATAGGAGTGATGAGTCAATCAAATGCAAGTTCCATGTTCTACAGCACTGCAAAAGATACTTGTCTCTTCCTTTCAACGGAATTGAAACATAAGATGACAGCCATATAGTAAAGTTGCAAAACTATTTCACAATTTATCATCATTCCTTCGCACTTTTTCATATATTAATCTTTGATTAATTTTTGCTGAGTATGTAAGAAATATTATTGTGAGCAAACGACAAAACCATAGTTTATCAACGATTTAACAAAAGTAGACGCTATGTTTCAAAAACGATAAATCCAAATCTATTAGAATCATGAATCGAATGAGTTCTGTTGAGCTGAATTGATAACAAATTCTAGAATCCTGGATACTGAATTTATGGGATGTTTTTTTTTACAGATACAATAGCTCATTGAATTGAGAAATATTCGTGAAATCTATAGATTCATTTTGAAAAAAAAAATTTAAGAATTTATGAAGTAAATTTGAATCCAGGTGACATTTTCTTTCAATCATTTCAAAATGAATTGATTGTCTTTTCTGTTTGTATTGCTCAACTTTCGGTTTTAGTATTCATATTCAAAAACCAAATGAGAACTTGTGGAACGAACACATTTTCATAGCGATTGTCTGCCTACAAACTTGATCAATTTAGTTAAAAGTTTCGTATAAAACGCAAAACAACAAGTTGAAATTGCATAGATCAAATACAGATTCATTGAAGATTCAACATAATTTTGCGAATTTTTTGCATTGGGACATCCTCGCTAATATAAAAAAATGATCAGTAGAAGCGAAGCTGACAATTGTTATTCATTTTCTTAATGATTATTAGATAAAATTACCCAATTTTAAGTGAAATTATTAAAGGCTATGGTTAGGTTAATGTATCATAACAAATTTGAAGGTCGACTAAGAGTTATCTTCTTAGTCTGTTTTAGAAGGCGTGAATGTGGGTGTTGTTCTGTTCGTCAACAACACACTCACACGCACGCCCACACCCACATCCTTTTTTCAGTATTGTTTTAGTTTTTAACACCAACATTGAACTAGAGTAACAAAGATTTTTTCGATCGATGTCATTATTCATTTTTAAATACAAACAATCAGGTTCAGAATATTACTATTTTGCTAATTCAGTTTTTCCCTAATCAAAAGAAAGAGTTGAACAAGGAATGAAATTTCTTACACATGACATTTACAAGTCGTCTTATTCAATTAATCAATCAACCAAAAATAAATGAATCAATTTCAAAAGGTCTATCGCTAATTGAGACCTGTGCCTATTTTTTTAGACATGATCAAGATAATCTTTATCGCACACAGAATGATGGCATTCAACAATTTTAATTTTCACACAGCACTTAGAATGAAGTTAGGACTATATCCACATTCACTCACCCACATCACTAAAAGTAACTATGTGCATCTAATTTATTGATTTTTTTGTATTTTCATAGAATAATTTAGGTATGACTGATTTCCAAAGAATATTTCTGAGTGCTCTTTGTTCTCTCTGAGAAGTAATATCCGCAAAGTTTGAAAAATTTTCACCGATAATCATGTCATCAATATTCTCATCCCATTGATGATGATTTCGTTTGTAGTGGATATTTATTCACACTAAATGGCAATCAGTGAACAGCGCATTCAAAATTTCTTTGTGGGCTGATTTTGAGAACACAAACTCTTGTCAATAGCAAAGAATTGAATACGATTGTTGGCAGTATCAGTGACATACAAATTTCCTTGCTGATCAAACGCCAGATCAGACGGATTCCAAAGTTGATTTGCCGCAGTGCCAGATTTGTGAGTACCGACAATAACATTTCCAGCTGTAGCTCCTTGATGCCAGCGTAGAACTCGATGATTGAGTGCGTCAACGATATACATGGTACCTAAACGATCAACTTTAACTGCACTAGGATTTCTCAATTGATCGGTGCGATTTCCTTGGCCATTGCCGCCAGCAACAATTATCCCTTGTTTCGCTCCGGCAGGCCATTGCATTACTCGATTGTTCCAATAATCTGCCACGAACACCGAGTGAATGCGATCAACGAATGTATCCGACGGCATAAACAATTGATTCAAAGTTGAACCTTTACCATGACCACCGGCTACTATTTCGCTACTCGTAGCGTCTCTTTGCCACTTTGAAACACGATATTCATCATTTTCGGACAAGTACAACGATCCTTCGTTGTCCATCGTAATACCAATACACGACACATTGGATATAATTGGCTGTCCACTTTTAGCACCAAGAAACCATTGAACTACACGTAGATTTCCCAAGTCGCACAGAAACAAACTGTCGCTCTTCTTATCAATAACGAGTCCATTAGGTCGTCTCAATTGGTTATTGTCGCTGCCTGCTTCAATACCACCAGCCACAACAGTGCCGCTTTTCGCGCCAAAGTCCCATTTCATGACTCGATTATTGCGAGAATCAACAACATACACAGAACGATCAGTGTCGACAAACAACGCTCCAGGAGAATTAAACTGATCCAATGCAGTTCCTTGTCTTCCACCACCAGCTACAGTGATACCAATCGGGTTCCATGTTGCCCGTGCACAAATTCCATCATCATCATCAGACACTGTCGTTGTAGCTGGAATGGTTAAAAATTAGGGCGTGAACGTAGGTTAAGGTGAGGCCAACACCTACACTCACACCCTTCAGAAAATTTCAAGATGTTCAAAGAAAGAGAGGAATCGAAGAAAACCAAAGAATTGGTAAGTCTCAAGAAACTCCAAGAACCAATGAAAGTCAAGAAGTTCAAGAATTTGTATAAATCCAAAGAATTCTGAATATCGTAGCGCTCAAAGAATTATAAGAAATCCATTGAATACAAGATATGGCCAGATTCAAATGAACCTAAAAGTTCGAAAGTCTCTCGAAGACCAAAGGAAATCAACGAGTCCAAGGAACATACGAGATGCCTTCGGTGCAGAGAATATTGAGATTGGAAGTGAAGGTGAAGAGAGACATGTAAAACATTCCCAAGACGAAACAGGAAAAAGCCGAATAATAGACGAATCAAGACCTGATTCTGAATATTGTGAGTACAGATTCAAAATAGATCTCCGCGATCAACGAAAGACTTATAAGAAAACGAAAGGGGTGGACTGTGTGAAATTCCTTCTGCTACTAAAACAATGGCATCAGTTAAGTGAGCAATTGAAAAGCAGATTTTTTCTTATGGCAACCTAGTTGTTCACTGAGGTGTCTAAAAATCGATTTGAATGAAGTGAAAAGAGAGCATCAAATAGGTTTCATTCCAAAACGGGTCAAGAACATATATTCATAGCCGAACTAGTTCTAATTCACCTTCACCTTCCCCATCGGAATTAGTCAAAAATGAATTAGTTGATGATTTAGAAGAACCTTGAGAATAAGTGTCGGAAAATTTTTAATTATGATGCAAATTTCATGGCTATCACTTACTACATATAATTCAACTAAGGATACTGTATGCATGCAGAAACATATTAACTTGCNTTTGATTTCAATATTTTGCATTTTGTTTTGTCGTGAGATTTATTCTATGTTAGGAAGAATATTGTTACTTTCTTCTCACTTCTTATTTTGTTCTTCGCAAAGAGTTCAAGATTTTGCAGTTTCATCCTCTCTATTAAAAAAATTCAGCTTTTCTCGGATGTGAGTTTGACTGTGGTTGTAGGTGTTCCCATGCAAGAAAAAGGTTGTAAAAAAAGATTAAAAAACCAGACTAAAAATTGATTATAATGGCACTATGTAATCTGATTTCAATCAGATATTTTAGCCTTTAAAAACAGATTTCATTTGACTCAATCGTTTTTCATCTAATTTAATCATTTAAAAAACTTAAATCAATTAAAATCGATTAAAAAAGATCACATTAAATGAAATCTGTTCTTCGAGGCTGAACAATCTGATCACAGTGAGATTTTAATAGTGCTATTATAATTGATTTGTAATTGTTTTTACATGGCTGAGTGTAATACGTAGGTGTGAGTTTGAATGAAGAAAACATCTGTCTCACATTCAGACCCAGCTCAACTACACTCATGCCACACATCTACACCGATTCAGGTTTCCTGGCTTACTTTGTAGGCTCAAGTATCTCAAAAACCATCTTAGGTTTCGATAAACTACTCCGAAAACTGAAAACAAATCTCTCAAAAGCCTTTCGGTTGCTAAATCAACAATGTCGATAACATAAATATCCTACGATACTAATTACCTTTCTGGCAGTAACACTACGGTATTCTAAAATATTCTTAGATTGTAAAAATTTGCATTGACGAAAATTCAAAAGTTTTCAAAACTTTCGAAGACCAAGAATATCTTTGTGACTACAATTTACGAGGCCAAAATGCCTTTCTGAAACACTTATGGGCTTGCTCAAACGTTTAGAGAACAACTTTTTTTTTGAGTATATGCTCAGCTTTATACAGAATATCACGGCTTCCATTGTTTATTTATGTCAATATAAACGCCAGATATAATTAATATCGCACTGATTACTTAATTAGCTGTCAAAAAGTTTTTCATGCACGCATGGGGATGTTGACATGTTCTATGCGTGACTGCACTTTAAGAAATAGAATAAAACGTTAGACGTATAACGTCAACGCTTTCTGCTCTGTTTCCTTATTAGATGACGATTATTCTTTAGACATTTTTATATAATTTAGGTGTATGTGAGAGCTGTGCTACAAAAAAAAATTATAACAGCTCAACGAAACAAATCGTGAATTTCTTAAAGTAACATAGTAGTCTTCACACATTGAGTTATTACGCGTTAAAATTCAAGATGCAAGTGGATTCAAACCAAAGTATTACTAATGACAATAACACTCAACAAAACACTTCTGTTCTTCTAATTAGTGCATTGATGAGATCCAATATTTTACTCGCACTTGGAGTGCCATGATTTATTTTTTATATTTTCATCATCGTTTACATGCTCACTCACAAAACTCATCGTTCAGCACCGAATAATTATTGTCTTTTCATTATCTTAATTCTTCAGTTTTTTTGTAACATATTGGATATTCCATCACAGATATATTTTTATCGGCACGACAGAGTACTTTTTGAGAATAGTGCATATTGTTATATTTGGCAATTTATCACTTATAGTACTTGGACGACCAACCTGCTTTTACTGGCATAGGCTTCGTTTGAGCGTCATATCCTGATTTTTCATGATCGTCTGCTTCGTTCAAAAAGAGGAAATATATGCTTGCATTACGCACCACCTTTGATTATTATTACCTATGGCGTCTTTTACTATATCTATGCCTTTGTTTTTTATACATTCAAAAATCCGTATCTATTTTAGCAGAATCATTGCAATAATGCTTGTTACACAAATTACGTACCTATAATGTTGTGCAGCAGAGTGTTTAATTATATGCTTCCTTCAATATGTACTACTATTTTTAGTATCTTACTTTTGGTTCGTGTAATATACTCGAAACGTCGTCTTCAGCTAGCATTTAGCTGGCGAAAGCATAGTAGAATGGCTTATCAACTTCTCTCTATATCATTTCTCAGTATTACAAGCATCTTGCCGTATAGTATCGTCAGCTTTTTGAGTTTTTCTAGTTTCAATGTTATTATACCAAAACCGGTACCAAATCTTTTCAGTTTCATGAATCTTTTTGAAGTCTTATTATTTCCTTTCATATATTTGACGTCAATAGCAGAAATCTGGACACCAATTAAAACAAAAATCCATCGTATAACTACTTGACGAACGGCTGTACTGACCTTCACCCGAAAATAAGCACAATCTAACTAATAACTGTATTTTTGATGAAATTTGCTTATGTAAAAATAAATAATGAAATTCTATTTTCTTCCTTTTGAATATGTCTTGAAGAATACAGTAGTGTAAAACTTGAAATTTGAATTCAACTGAAATTTTAAGTTTCAAGTGTAATATGTATGTTTTGTTGCAGGTAATACATAAATTATCTGTTTTTTGTCTGATGCAATTGTGAACATTATATTTCTCAATAAATATTTTATATTTTGAAAGTATATTTCATACTAGTAATCATGACATTTTAATTTTGATCACGATCACGAAAAATATTTCTAATCACACACGATCACGCAGTGCACTAGTGGATGCAAAGAGACAAGGAGAAGTGTGGGTGTTGATCTCAGTGAAGACAATATTTCAACTCATACCCACACCCACACCCGTAGCTATTAGAGTAATCCAAATAAGATGAGTTTGCAGCTCAGAATGACCTCTACCGTTGAAATTGTCTCCCATATTGAATATTCAAAGTGTTTGGTAGCTTATGTGATAATATAAGGAGCTAAGATTTTTAGCTTGAATATGGTTCGATTCGACCTTAAGTATGAGATATTAAAATTTGTGTAGTTTCTCAGAAAATGACTAGAGCTAAGTTGCAATCACTTCTTGAAAAATCGACGATATGAACCTATGTCCTATGCCGCTTATGGTGAACTCTCCAACGGTGAGAACGGGAGGTGGACTTCATCTCTGCTATAGAAATATAATTATAGTATAACTCGACATGTAGATACACTATTTATCTTGCTGTCTGTTCTTATATCTCAGAGGATTTGCGTACATCGTCGATTTCTTCGCTATCTGAGATTACTTCGGTACTACCCCAAAAAATCAAACAAATATGTTGGTTTAAATAAAAAATCACTTTCACATTAAAAAACTGCCATATTGCAAAGAAAGCGTGTCAACATCTTATCCATCAGTCATTTTTTTCTCTTTCTGTCTGTCATATTTTTACAGTTTGTTTGTCTACCTCAATGTCATTGTTGTTTTTTCTTCATCTTTTAGTGATTGACTGTAGAAAAACAATACTCGAGTGACAGAAATAGGGGAAGAACCAATAGTCTCAAACACAAAGCAACTGTCACACGCTTTATGCTACCGTACACATATACGTATATATGTATGTGCGCGTTGCACGCGAAGGAAATACGAGGTGGGTAAAAATATTATTCCAGGGGAGTAACACTATGATTTCAAATAGAAGACATAATGAATTTTATATCAAATGAAAGCTCGTCAAAAACGGAGTTTATTGATACTAAATAGTGAGGGTTATAAAAACTTTTTAATATCCAACATAAGAAACTTTCAGAAATTTTATACTTTTTTTGGGATGGGAAAGTAAGGTGCCAGTAATTCAAAAATCGAGTAAAATGTTTTGCTTGGATATTTTTACATGATTCGATAGAGCTAGTCGAGCTCTACAAAACTATATATATTAAAAGATTTTTAAACAGAGTTCTTGAGTTAAAACACACTGAAAACTGTCTAAAGGATGTACCAAAAAACCCGCGTTTTTTAGAGTTTTTATAGGGAAAAAAGTGGTCTTTTTTTACATTAAATTCAGCTGTTTTCCATTAATATCCTTATATAAGGTGTTTGAAAATATACTCATTCGTTGTAGCGTGAAAAACTGCATCGAATGTGTATATTTCGAAACGCCTGAGGAAGTAAAAATAATTAAAATAAATGCGAAAACCTCGGATTTAAATCCGAGTGTTATGTGTACTTCAAAAAGTGAAAAGGCATATTCACTGTGTTTTTTATCACTAAATTGCA